TAAATCTGATGGAGGAATGGGATTTAGAGATTTTGAAGTTATGAATGATGCCTTGCTAGCAAAGACTGCTTGGAGAGTCCTGAACAACCCTGATGATTTGTGGGTAAGGGTCTTGAAAGGAATTTACTTTCCTAATTCAAGTTTCCTTAAAGCAAAGAAGGGGGAAAAGCTTCCTGGATCTGGAGTAGTATCTTGACTGGTAGAGATTTGTTGAAAAAGAGAGTGTTTTGGAGAGTTGGGAATGAAGAAGTGGTAAATGTTTGGAAGGACAATTGGATTCAAAAAGCTAAGGGATGCCTTGCATAGTTGGTTAATGTGCCTGAACAATGCAAACATTGGTGTGTAGCTCATCTGATTCATAATGGCTATTGGAATCTAGAAGGAATGAAGGAGTTGGTCAGTGAGGAGATTTTGGGATGGATTGTGAAAGTCCCTCTGAACTTCATCAACAGAATAGATGAATCAGTTTGGAAAGTTGCAAGAAGTGGTAAATATGAAGTTAAGAAAGGATACTATGCTGTCAAAAATATGGAAGCTACTACGGTTGACAGAGCAAGCTCATCTATGATTCTAACCAAGGAGCTATGGAAGAAGGTTTGGAGGATTAAAGTTCTACCAAAAATCATCCATTTTATATGGAGATGCTTGGTGAGAGCGGTACCTGTTAGAGAAGAGCTTATAAGAAAAAAATGTAGAACTTCAGTTATGTGTCCAATCTGTAAAAAAGAAGTTGAAACAATTGAACATGCTCTCTTTACCTGTCCATGGGTTAAGGGTGTGTGGTTTGGCAGTGAACTGGTACTGAGGTTTGAAAAAGGAGGTTTTGGTAAGTTTGAAAGCTGATGCATGCAAATAATGGTAGAAGAAAAGCCTTTTGATGACTTCCAATTAGATTATGTAGCATGGTTATTATGGTTAATATGGAAGGAAAGAAATAGTGCAATATTTGAATTTAAAGTGAATCCAGTCAAAGTGATTTGCGAAGTTGGCAGAGGTATGAGGGAATTTTGAGAAGCTAAAGGGTGGAGCAAGGTAGTGGAAGGGCAAACTAATAGTGTTGCAACTGAGGTTCGTTGGAAGGCTCTTGAAGGTGATCTTATGAAAATAAATTCTGATGGCTCTTTTGATGAGAGTTCTGGTTTAGCAGCAGTGGGTGTTGTGTGTAGAGATAAAGATGGTAAGTTGCAGTGGGGTTTTGCAGATAAAGTTGTAGCTAAGTTTGCTTTCGAAGCTGAGGTATTAGCCTTACACAGAACCATTTGTATTGTAAAAGAGCTAGAGTTAAGAAATGCGGTTTTGGAGACTGATTGCACAGAGCTTTTCTGATACTGCAAAAAGAAATCCTCTGAGAATGCTGATTGGAGGTGTAGATGGGAATTGTAGACTGTTATATCTGAGATAGTAGATTGTGGAAGGTTTGAAATTGCCTTGACACCTAAGAAAGGTAATGAAGCAGCAAACTGGATTGCTGTATGTTGTAGAAAAGAGGCATGCCTTGTGGGGTGGATTTTTGATCCAACACCTACTTTGAAACAGGTTCTAGACACGAATATTGGAAATAACTGGAAGTCTGCAAGTTTTATCAATGGATCTGATAAGCTAAAATTTGACATAAGTGGTATTGGTTGATCTGCTAGATTGATCTGCTAGAGTTTTTTTTCAGTGCGTTTTAGTTTCTGTCTTGTTTTTGTTTCATTTCAGCTCCAGCAGGTTGTATGTTAGGATTGTGTTTTGGTTTGAACTGTGTGGTAGGTTATATGGTTAAGCTTTTTTTGAGTGTTTTTTTCTTTTTCAGGCCTTAAGTGGCTATTAGTGTATACTTATTTGCTTTGTTGATTAATAATATTGTCTTGTTTTTAGCCCAAAAAAAAAAAAAAACACAGGCATATGATATATTTGAGCCATTTTGTTTTAGAAATAATCTTAGCATTTTTTTTAGATTTTTTTTTTGCCTAAAAAATTTTAGGCAAGGGTCAGGCGGCTCAAGTCAAACCAAGAACAGGACGCTTGAATAGCTCTTCCAAAATAATACTAATATTGCGTAGGGTAAACATTATACCCTGAAGTGTTAATCTAAGTACCCCGTTCTAGGAACTACACCCTCGAGAGCCTTGACAAAGGCAAGATCCAGCTAATTTCTACAGAATAGATGCCGAAAACAAGAACGAGGAGACCACACCTCGAAACGGAAGATTCGAGGCAAGAAGTTTTGTATGCGTCTCAAACTTAGAACGTAAGACCCAAGAAAACAAGATCAGATAAAAAACGCAACAGATAAATGAACCTGATCGTTAAAAACTATGAGCAGAACACTTACGCGTCACAAACCAGCATCGGCAGGTGGAACTGGATCGGGTCGATACGGATCTCAGCCTTGAGTGGGCAACAACCAAATCTCAGATCAAGATCTGACGCGAAGAGACGAGGAACCCTGGAACAAAGACGGAAGGCAAAGCATGCCCCTAGCGTTGTTATTTATAGAAAGGATGGGTTGCTGGAGAAAATGAAAAAAAAGAAAAAAAAGCTAAGATGCCTTTCTTGAACGGTGAAGATTAAGTGACGTGTAATATCAGCCGCCTCTCCTATTGAGCGGTGGAGATTTATGAGCGAATTTTTTTAATTTTGATAATGGAAATTTTTTTTTTTTTTGCAGGGGCGAAGGCGGTGTCTTGGAAGTGGAGGCCGCTTTTGCGTGGGCTTTACGCTCAACGAATCTGACCGTTTCCAACACGCCTCTTGACCCTTCTATTTTTCTAAGCATCATCGCTGACGTTGACGCGTATGCTTATCATTTTCGTTTTGTTTTTTTTAACCAAAAGACGCGAATGCTTATCAACAGACAGCTTTTTGATGCTTCTAGTGGCTCTTTTCCCATCCACGTTTCACTAAAAAATGGCGGAAGATTACTTTCTCACGTTTCTTATAAGAAAATTTTGAAAGTAATTTTTAGTTCAATACGCGCATTTTTTTTTTTTGCCAACAGTTCAATACGCGCATTTAATAAATACAAATTATTTTAATACATTAATTAAAAACACTTCTTTTCCATATTAAATGCGATGGAGAATTATTTGTTATTAAATATTTACAAACTGCTAAAGTACTAATTTCTTTCAGAAAGAAACTTACATCTTTAATGTATCTAGAGAATTTAATTCATTCTAATTTTTTTGAGTTGATGAACTAGTTTGTAGTCATTCACTCCCTCCCTTTAAAATTATATCGCAGTAAAATCCAATTATAATAACCCCAAACGTCATTTAAAAGGTTTCAAGCTGTAACGCTGATTCTATTTTTGACCAAAAATCAGTGATTGTATTAATTAAAAAAATTTTAAAAAAAACTTTAATCAAATTGAATATGGTTTTGGCATCTTGGGCTTTGGTCGAAGCCTATTGTGATGTCGGCATTGTGAATTATTGTAAGCCAGCTGTCTTGGTCAATTTTCTTTGAAACTTGAACGCAAAGCAAAGCCTCCTCAATAATACTTCCGTTTAATTCACTCAGAAACATCACACGTGTTGCCATGTGCCCATGTCGTTGTCAGATGATGACATTTTGCTCTCAGGGTTAGTACTGAAAATGAAAACTTACAAGCAGAAAAATGGAGAAAAAATCTCACAAAAAGGAGTTAAAGCTGCTATAATGCAAATAAAGAATTCTTATATACTGTTATTTATAAGTTTATTATTATCAAAATCTATTAAAATATTATTATCAAATCTGATTTAAAATTAAGTAATTTTTTAAAAAAAATTTTGTGGGATTCTTTCTGAAAAAAATCACATCCTGATTTCCTTTGACAAAATCGTGTAACTAATAACAAATTATGCCCATACTTGAAAATAACGTGCGCGAGCGATTGCTTTGCCAATTGGAGCCTCCCTCTTGAATTCTTTTGAGATTAATTGTGATGGTGCTTTCTGCAAAACTAATGGTAAAGCTGGCATTGGGGTGATTTGTAAGAATTCAAAAGAAGTATTTTCTAAAAGTTGGGCTGAAAAAGTAAATGCTTCCTCTGCATTTCACGTAGAGCTTCTCATTATCCATAAATTTGTCCTTCTAGCTAAGCAATAGCAATGCTTCCCTATTATCATTGAGATGGATTGCAAAGACCTTTTTGATGCTTTAATTTAGAAATCATCTCGGTTTTGCCCTTGCCTACTGCATGGTTTGTTTGCTGAGATATTTGATTTAGTGATTGATTGAATTTCCTTTTCCTTTTCTCTCATTCCTCGTGAGGGAAATGATACTACTGACCTTTTGGCTGCCATAGCTTCAAGGGAAGTTGGGACCTAATGATCTGATTTTGGAATCTTCGCCTCCTCTAGTTGTTATCATCGTTCGTGAAGCCACTCTTGCTGAAGATTACTGTTCTGACCAGAATCTTTCTAAGGCTGAAAGAGAAGGTATTAGCTAATTTGTCAACTCTCTAACTTGTTTGTTGACTGCCTTTTGTTGCTGTTTTTCTTTTCCTTTTGCTTTTATGTAGAACTATTTGTTTCAGTCTGTTATTAATAATTGTAGTATGCTTTGCTGGTTAAAAAAGAAAAAAAGGAGCCTCCCTTTTCAGACTTGAGGGATTTCAATTTCTTTTCACCCCTAGTTTAGGAGAAATTAGGCATAACTAAACTGATGATCAACTTTCTGTTAGATAAGAATAATCTTTTTAACTTGTAAAAATCTACAATAAATCCTCTTAAACTCTTATATTTATGTAAATAACTCTCTTCTTAATAGTTTTATTCATTACTTAGGTACATATATATTAAAATTTAGGACGCTTATATACATATAACTCAAAACTTGAGGAGGTTGTATATAGGGGTGGAAACATGCCTGGCTAGGCCAGGCCTCACCCTTAACAGGCTCGGCCTGTGATGAGGCCTATTGGCCTGAGCCTAGCCTGTGGCCTGTGAAAGGCCTTTTATTTGGCCTGAGCCTGGCCTGTAATCAAGCCTGGCCTGGCCTGTGGCCTGTTAAAAAGCCTGTTTTTTTTAAAAAAAATTAATACACATAAATTAATTTAAAATTACAATAACTCAACCTAAATTATCTACAATACAAACAGAAAATATGAAATTATCAAATTAACACAATTTGTTCTTGCTAGTTACTCCAATTACAACAAATTATCAAACCACCGCAAAGCATTAAATCTTCAACACAATTTCTTCTTCTTGTTCAAGCACCTAAAAAAAAGAAATTAAATATGTATTAGATCAAGTGGAGTTGATATCAACTAGAACTCAATAACAACAAAAAATAAAAAATATGAAGAATATGTAAATTAAGACACTGAATAATCAAAATGCTTGAGAAAAGTCTAGAAAATAAGCCGGATTAGATGTCCAGCTTTACCATCAAATTACAAATTCAGAATTATAGACATTTGATGGAATTTAATCTAACGAGATTTTCATTCAAATTCAAGTTAGAAACATACACAGGATACAAACACTAGAATGATATGAAGACCGACACCAATAGCAAGTCTTTCGCATCAATAACCACAGGATTAGTCAGTAAGTGCAGACAACTCTTTACTAATCACCACCAAAGGTCCAACTACTCATTTTAAACTTCTGCATGTTTTGTGGGTTTGCGACTTCTAATATGCCTCTCTCTAATATGCCTTTGTTTCAGGTTCACGTACTCTTGGAAATCATCGAACTTTATAGTTGAAATAATCTGGGAGAGTAAAAGTTAAATCATTCTCAATTAAATTCATTCCATTACAGTTCAGAGCACACTCACACAGGCAGAGCACGATCATGTATATATATGTGAACATGAGCCACAGTTCAGATGACAAAACCTAGAAGATAACAGTATATGAGAACACAAACAAGTCACCCTCACAAACAAGTCGATAAGCAGAGCATGACAATATGTGTGTGTGTGTGTGAACATGAGTCACGCACCTGAGAATCAAATAATGGAAGAAGCGAATCAATCGATTCAAGCGAACAGGAAGGTGGTGACTAGCTATTTGCGTGTGCGACCAGCTGAATACGTCGCTATAATGCAGTCCGTTGTGAGCCTCTGGTGCTCCGTTCAGCAACTGGCAAGTAGCGATTAGTGAAGAAGAATGGAAAGCAAATCAATTGATTCAGCAACCAGGGAGATTCGAAGAAGAATGGAAGAAGCTGAATGCGCCGCCGTGAGGCTCTGAAGTTTAAATGTGGTCCGCTGTGAGCCTCTGGAGTCTGGACTTTGGTGCTCCGTTTAGTGATGAAGAACGGACGAAGAGATCAAGCCTCTGAATGCGAAGAAGAATGAACAAAGAGATCAAGCCTCTGAATGCAAAGAAGAACGGATGAAGAGATCGAAGAAGAACGGCAAAGAGATCTAGCCTCTGAAGTCTGGATGCAAAGAATGGATGAAGCGAGCCTGTGACCGTGAGACTCTGGTGCCGTGGTGCGCCGTTAGGGGTAGGAAGACTCAAAAGAAGAATGGAAGAAGCAAACATGACCTAGATGCAGCAAATTTACAATTTTAGCCTTACAAAATAATAACAGGCCCAGGCCATCTGACAGGCCTAACAGGCTTGTTATCATGCCTAAGCCTGGTCTGATAAGGCAAACAGGCCTTTTTACAGGCCTGAGCCTGCTTCTACATTTTAAGAGGCCAGGCCAGGCCAGGCCCTTATCAGGCCAGGCCACAGGCCCCTGACAGGCCGCCTGACCTATTCCCACCCCTAGTTGTATACATGCATAGAAAGACATATAATTGATTGTTGGGATTTATTCATATGGAGTTAAAAAGCTTAATTAAGTGGGTTGGTTACTAAGTTTTAAAGGTTAAAACATATGTACAAAATAAGAGTTTTATGGAACTTAACCTATAACTTTTGTTTAATGTAATGTTTTGGGCCTTGCCTATTTTTTTACCAAAAAAGTCGTATTTGATCTCTCACTTTAGAGGGAATGACAAATTGAATAGAATACTTAAGTTTTTTTTAAAATTTTTTTTAGTGCATACGTATTTTCTCTTCTTCTAAACACTTCTCTGCATAATGATATGGCAGGTGTCAATTCTATGGTCGTAATCGTAATTTGAAAATGCATGGATGGGGACAATAATCAATAGGGCTTGTATGTGCGGGTCATTATTTGTAATTTTATGCATCTAATCGTTATCCTCTTCTCTTTGGCCACGTAAAACTGGTCCGTTGTGTGGTTCTTCCGTTTCTACAAGAGCCTGTTCTTTCCACAAAACATCGAATGATTCTTATTGGGTTTTTAATATTTGTGGCTAAAATCATATTTTCTTTTAATTTAATTTGTATTCTCATTCAATAAAAATACACATTTTAAAAGATTGTGACCATTTAGATGCGAAGTACTTCAATTTTCATTCTCTTTCTCAGTTGGCTCTAGCTGTTTACCCCACGCATAAGCCTCTAAGATGTCCAAAGCTCATTGTGATAATTGTTAGAGAAAGATAAGAGTGTCATTAGCTAATAACTGAGATAGGCTATAAAAAGTCTAATGTAATATGTGTCTAATTAGTTTTGGGATGTGAATTTAATCCCAATAGTATTGGGTTGTCAGTTATCTCTCAATGAGGGATTCGGTTAACCTAATAGGGTTATTGTATCTTTATCGATCATTAATAACATTTCATAGTTTTCGTTCCCATTAGTTTACAATAATGATAGAGAAACTCTTTTTATGACAGAAAACAAAGTGAAATTACTGACTCGATCAAAGCTGAGTCCGTATTGGTATTCGGCTTAGAAATTAAATTTGTTTCACGTCGGTCACAGAAAACCCAGCACAACTTGCAAAATCAACCTTCAAATCTCAATCGTAAGATGCAGCTATATTCTCAGCTCCTCAACAGTTGGAATTCGTGTTTTTGGTTCCTTGAATCCTATTGTTACCAATATGAAGCAAATAAGCCTACTACAAATTACGACCTTATTTTAACACAAGATCAGATTAGAGTTAGGAATAAACAACATATTCATTTTGTATTACTCTATCCCTTGGGTCTTATAGAACACGCTTGCGCAATCTGTAAGTTGCTTGCGTGTCAAATTAATTTTCCTTCTTTACTCATACAAGTTACTGTTCGGTTAGTTAAAATTATTCTTTCAGTCCTTAATATAGGATATAATTATTGAGTTGATTTTAGTACTAATTATAAGATCTATTTCTTATATTTATCAATTTTTTCTAACTTATCCTTATGGATACTCCCTCAACCATAATCAAGTAGAAGAAGAAGAGAGAATATTAAGAAAGATGATTATGGTATTTTAGGAAAAACATATCAGATTTTTTATAATTAACTAACTTACGTAATTTTCTTAATTTAATCAAATTAATTAACTAGGCGTTATATCTAGGACCAGAGGAGTAATTTTTACCCTAAATACAACATTTTAATCTATTTTATCGTTTTCTTGGGTCAATGAATTAGAAAGTATACAACAGGAATCATAGGGCCACTTGATCAAGTATTGAAGTTTTGTACTGATTATCAACATATATAAATCGTGAACATGTATGCAAGCAGGAAATAGAATCATTTAAACCATCATATAAAAATGAAGATTAAATTTACATGCACTGAATAGAAATCGAAGATCTGTAAAAGTCGTATCTGAAGTGGCTCGATCTTCTTTCGGCACAACACAAAAGTAAAATTTTCATGGCAACACCATACTTGGCATAGTGCTCCGAAAATAATGATCAGCGTGTTCTTATCCAGAAGCAATAAGCGACTCAATCAGGAGCATAAATAAATGTAAATTCCCTAGCGCCCCCCCCCCCCAAAAAAAAAGGGCAGAGCAAGCAGTATATTGAACATCGTCCATTTAGATAATATACCTTCCTCTAACCTGGCCAAGATTTTCTTCAGCTTTTACACCATAACCAGTTTCAGCACCATCCTGCAGAGAAAAATACATCATTAATTATTTGTTGGGAAATTCGACAAAGTAGATTCAAATTCATGGGCACTACCAGTTATCACACCTTTGCCCAGTAAGAGTTATCCTAAAGCCTCTCATCAGCATATTTTATCTTTTCAATGTTGACTCTTTGAAATGGTTTTGCTGAATTTGGCCGCAATAAGAGTTCCATATGCCTGGACAAATTTAATAATAAATCATACGTATTGCAATTGACTTCACAACACAAACATTAAGAGGCAATGCAATCAGTCCCTTGACCAGTTAAACAGATTAGAAAAACCTTTGGACATCAAGACGCTGCTGGGAACAATTAAAAAATGTCACTGCATTCATTTATATATCTATTCTTGGGTTAAACTTTCCAAAACATTCAAGTTAAATTTTAAACAAAATTATAGAAATATGAATTTCAATGTTTGCATTTTTATAAACATTCCAAGCAGTATAATTTATAAGTAAATCAATTAAACTTACAAGTTGTAATGGGTTCCTAGATTCAAATGCACTTTTAAGTGAATTGAAATCATTCTTTTCAAAAGGATCCAATTCACTTCCGATGAAATGGTTATAAAGATTCATGATTGCAAGTTCCTTGATTTTAAGAGATAACCAAATCCATCTGAAAAATTCCTTAGACCTTCTATTCATTACCTAAAGCTCGACAATGCTCTAATTCTCCACAAGAACACGATTGCCTTGTAAAAAGATCGGGCCAACAGACAACCACTTTGGCAGGAACAATAATACTAAGATAGACACCAAAAGTATGGTTAGAGGTTTGTGATTAGCTACTATTAAAAACTGAAAGTCACGGCAAATTTTTTTGAAAAATAAAAATAAAATAAAAAATTGTAAAAACGCCTATCTCTGATATTCGGATTTTAAAACAAGGCTGAAATTGATTCTGTTAAGCAATGACTATTGGATATACCAAAGATGTAAAAAAGGATTCTTATAAAATTCAGAAATTATCTGTACAATCATAAAAAATAGAAAAATATGACAAAAAAATACCTATTGAATTTTAAAGAAAAAAAAGGTCATGTCGACTATTCTTGTAAAGACTGTTATTATTTTTGTAATGGTTTTGACAAGTCAAAATCTGTTAAAATTGTTTTTAAAATTTAACAAGTATTTTTTTTATTATTGTCCCTAAAGAATATTTCTACAAGTGATATTGGGGCAGAACTTCATCTTTTTCCAAAATGGCGGAACTAATATGTTGATTTTGATATTACGTTGATGGAGTCTTGATCGCATGGATCAGGAGATTGTGAAGATTGCAAGTATATTTTGCTTACAATAGGAGATAAATCATCAAATGTATATCATAAAAAATGCGTATTATTTATGCATGCACGCATATGTATTAAAATGTAAGAAAGATAGAAATATACTACTTCTGATCTTTGATAGAAAAGCTAATTGACTAATTTGAATAGATTAAGAAATTTTATTAAGTTAGTCATTTATAATAAATAAGTGTTGTCTTTCATAAAATATCTTTACTAATTATGTATATTAACTAGAACTACCATTTGATGAAATTTTTAACACGAGGAACTACTATAAAGATTACTTTAAAAAAATAAATAAATCTAAAAAACAAAATGGATTAGAATCTTATATTTAAGACCAACTTAAAAATCAAACTAGTTTTTATATTAAGCACAAGAAGTAGCATTAGATAAGCAGCACAGACCAAAAGAAAAGTCGGCGTCTAACCAAGAGCAAAAACAAAGATAGTAAAACGTGTCACATAATTTATCGTTATTTTTTTTATCTTCAGATAAATCATTAATATAATTTTAAATGAATATATTAGAAGAGTTTCAACTACTGCAATTGTTCTTTTTGCTTTTGCTTTTATTATATCATTTTTCTATGCATCTGAGCGAACTCTGTTGCGGGATCACATTTGTGTATTAATATTAGTAGAAAGCAAATTCATCCGATGAGACTTTAAGGGTTAATGGCCAAAACGCAAATATTTTTTTTCCTAGTCAAAATAAGTGAGATACATGCATGTTTATTAATTCATATAGTTCATCTAGTGAAGGTAATCCATCATGTATGTTTATTTATGAATTTAAAGTAGAATGTATGCGTTCCAATTATTTTTTTTAATAATTAAATGGTGGTTATACTTTTCTATGTTTCTTTGTCCACGAATGC